AAGTTTAATATTAAATCCCTTTGTCCTTCAGACAGGGAATTTTTATGACAGTAGCCTATACATGTGTGTGTGTGTGTGTGTGTGTGTGTGTGTGTGTGTGTGTGTGTGTGTGTGTGTATATATATATATATATATACACACACACACCAATAAAAGGCAGTAAAGTGAATAAAAAAACATTATGGAAAAAATGAGAACACATTAAACTAAGACTTTTCAAAATGTGCAAACAAAATAGTACTTGCTAAATATTCAGTTTTATTGTTAAGCCCAAGATGAACTTTTGACCTACACCAATTGCTAAAGTACAGGACTCCCAGAAGCAGTGAAAAACATTTCAGCAACACTCCTCTCTCACCAGCAACAAAAATTAGTTACAAAATATCCATAACACTGTCCTATTGTGTATCACAGCAGCTAATTGCAACAGAATTTAACTACTACAGCTAACTATTTAGCTAGTTGGTATTTCTTTTGAGTGAAAGACAATAAAACCAAAGAAACACTTGATTTCACAACCATTTTATTTTGGGTACAAATGAATTTGCTGAAGCATGGCTTTCTCAGCTGCATATCGATTCATCCCCTCCCATTTTTCCAACACTTTCATTGTTACCTGAAAAACATGCTGGATTACTTCATCGTAGTCGTTGTCGTCGTCGTCGGGGGCAGCATCCCAACTAGGAAGCTCCAGACGTCCTCTCCCCGGCCACCTCCACCAGCTCCTCCGGCAGGACCCCAAGGCGTTCCCGGACCAGATTGGAGATGTAACCTCTCCAACGTGTCCTGGGTCGACCTGCCGGCAGGACATGCCCGAAGCACCTCCCCAGGGAGGCGTCCAGGAGGCATCCTGACCAGATGCCCAAACCACCTCAACTGGCTCCTTTTGATCCGGAGGAGCAGCGGTTCTACTCCGAGTCCCTCCCGAATGTCCAAGGTCCTCACCCTATCTCTAAGGCTGATTCCGGCCGCCCTACGGAGGAAACTCATTTCGGCCGCTTGTATCCGCGATCTCGTTCTTTCGGTCATTACCCAAAGCTCATGACCATAGGTGAGGATTGGGACGTAGATCGACCGGTAAATCGAGAGCCTGGCTTTCTGGCTCAGCTCCCTCTTCACCACGACAGATCGGCTCAGCGTCCGCATCACTGCAGAAGCTGAACCAATCCGCCTGTCGGTCTCCCGATCCCTCCTACCCTCACTCGTGAACAAGACCCCGAGATCCTTAAACTCCTCCACTTGAGGTAGGACCTCTCCCCCGACCTGGAGTTGGCAAGCCACCCTTTTCCGGTCGAGAACCATGGTCTCAGATTTGAAGGTGCTGATCCTCATCCCAGCCGCTTCACACTCGGCCGCGAACCTACCCAGCAAGAGCTGAAGGTCAGAGCTGGATGAAGCTAGGAGGACCACATCATCCGCAAAAAGCAGAGACAAGATTCTCCTGCCACCAAACTCTGTTAAGGATTACTTCATACACAGTTGAATGTTTTTGAAAAGTAACTTGCATACCAATCACTGCTGAAGACTGCTTTGTACTTCTGGAACAAGGACATCAAACACCAAGTCCAGAAACTGGAACTCTCTCTTCTTTATTAGTTTATCTATTCCTGAGCATGAACCAATCCGCTCTGTCAGCTCGTCAACCAATAAAACACGTTAACATAAAAATTTACAAAACATTCCTCTCAGCATTAGACAACGGACCCAGGTGGCCCACTGGCCATGCATCGAGATAAATAAATGTGATGCAGGTTATTGTAAGTCAGTATACATTTACCTGTGCATCGGCAAAGTGGAACATCAGTGGCTTTAGTCTTTGCTTTAATTTAAGTGAGACACCTGGATTGTGCCACAGATACATGCGGCCAGACTTCACTCTACCGCTGCAGAGATCCTTATACAAAGTCTGAGGCCTAGTCCACACGTAGCCGTTTTTTTTTTTTAAACGAATATCCGCCCCTCCAAAAACTTGCATCCACACCACCTCGTTTTAAAAAAAACTCTGTCCACACATACCCGGATAAATACGTTGTTAAGGACATGCCAGACCTGTAGGCGGCAGTACTTCCCCCGTTCTTAACCTCGTCCTTCGTCTGTGGTCTTCCACAAGGGGCAGTAACTCCGCTTGCAAAAACAAACAAGCAGAAAGCGCTTGGACAATTGATAAAGCGAGCGCAGCTCTGAGGGCATCCATGCTGTCGGCTAGTGTAAACACAGGTCGTACACGTGATGTCAGCATTTTTTTGTCGTGGAAAGGGACGTTGCGGACCTTAAAACTCCGGTTTTGTCTGTCCACACGCAGACACCCAAAACGGAGAAAACGCAGATCTTCACTTTGGCCGGAGTTTTTAAAAAGATCCATTTTCGTGTGGATGACAGGCCAAAACGTAGAAAAATATCTACGTTTTGGCAGATCCCCGGCTACATGTGGACAGGGCCTGAGTAAAGACGAGAGTTAAAAATAAGCAACATTACCACAGAAAACAAGGGATTGCATTATCCTATGTCCAATTTTAGATTGATTGAAACCACTTACAAATTTCTGAAAATCTATGCTTTTTAATTAAAAAAAAGAGTATTAATAACATTTCAGTCAAGTCAGTATTAGAAATCGTGGTCTTTATATCATATCTAAATTATATATAAAGTTAATAATACTTTAACTGTTTTAACAAACAGGGAGACCAAAAAAATCAAATAGCTAAGTTAAAGCTAAGCTACAATTGCTGATTGCTTTATTTATGTAGCTTTTGTGTTAGCTTGTGAACTCCCTGCATTAGTTTTAAGACTGCGTGTTAATATTGATACAATTAGCTATGAAACACGGTGCTTTTGTAATAATTCTCTGGTAAAGCTTTGAATGCTATAGTGCCTACATTTAAGAACAAAGAACGGTTGCAACAATTAGTTAATTTCATCCTTACCTTTCCTCTATGAAACCCGCCGAGTATGGTTGACACAAAAGCAGCTGCCAAAAAAGACCAACTTCCTGCCGAGGTCTTTCGCTCGTCGATCTTCCGGTGAAAGCAATGACACGCCGTCTTGTTCTCGCTAGAAAGTTCTTCCGGTGACACACCAGCTGATGTCTGCAGCCAGATCCTACTCAAAGGCTCTCCTACTGCTTGCATTAGGAGGGGAGATCCAGCGCGCATGCGCCCGTTAGCTTAGGTCTATGGCATCGACATATACGGTCTATGGTAGAGATTGCTGTGCCCAAAAGGAACAGGAAATACTTCACAAGATGATTCGGTAGTGCTAAAAGTGTAAATAACATTTTTAAACTATACTTAAATGCAGATTGTACACAGCACTTATAGTCTGTATGATGTAGAGATAGTTTGGTTTCATTTTCATGTTGTTTTTTTATATTTTGTAATTCCTATTTTCTTCTTCTTGTGAGACTGGTGGGGTGTCACCCTAGCGCCCCCCATGGACGAGCTGCCACTACTTATTTGTGCATTTTGGTGGCATGTGCAGTTTAGAAATGCAAACTATTCTCACCTTTTTTATCCACCTTTCAAGTGTGTGTGACTGAATTTTGAATCAGGACTGTGGACTTTGTTTTTGTAGTTTGTTGGAGTTTTAGTGCCCAAATTTAAGTTTGAGAAGTTGGTCTGTTAAACTAAATCTTGCTGTATTACCAATTTAGTGTTGATTTAATTGAGTTTTCCAAATTTCTGAAGGGAAGTTTAAGAATGCAAAAGTAGGCGTCATTTAAATGGAATTTTCCCAAAACTTTTACTGAACCTCCGTGGATGTTGAGACTACCTAAAACACCCTTTTCCCAGCATACTCTCCCTCTCTCTCGCTTGCTCTGAGCAGCCAGCCCTGTCATGTTTTGAAAACCTGCAGGTGCTCCAAACTCCTTTTTTTCTAGGAAGGATAGGCTACACAGAGAAAACTAAAATCATCTCCCAGCCCCCCCCCCCAAAAAACTCATCCCTCTCACTCTCTTTAGGTTGCTCCTGACGTGACTCACTCCTCTCAACCTTTCCATCAAACCGAGCAGGTTATTATTAAACTAGAACTGGCTGTTGTAGGGCTTTGACCTACTTGACCTTTATTCTACGGGCACTCCAGCCCAGTCACCATCCACCTTTTCTGTTCCACTCTTTATCTCTTGTTCTGTAAGTGATGTCAAAGCCAGTGCAGGGATTCGGATGAGGCAGGCGCTAACAATGTGAGCATGTCCTTACTTGTCTGAGGCTCATATCTCACAGGGCTCATTCTTTTGGAGTTCTGGCCCAACGCTGGCCCCTTGTGTTGACCAAAGAGCATTACACCACGTCTGCCTTGCACAGGATGCATCAGCTTCTAAAGCAGGCATGGGGAACCCTGGTCCTCGAGGGCCAGGATCCTGCACATCCTTGCCCCCAACACTTCTGATTCAGTGGTTGATTCACCTGTTCAGCAGCTCATCAGGCTCCACAGAAGCCCGTTAATCACCTGCTGACTGAACTCAGGTGATGATGCAGGGTTGAAACTAAAATATGCTGGATAGCAGCCCTCGATGGACCAGGGTTCCCCACCCCTGTTCTAAAGGATGTATGAGAAGTACTAAATAATATTGTGATGCAGTCTTCTTATCAAATAGAACTCAAATAAATGGCTACATTTGAACACAATGTACATGTTCTTCAGATTTAAGATCTGTTTCCTCCTTTTGGTGATCCTTTAATGAATGTCCTTATTATGTAAATTAGCTGCATTTGTTTAATCTGCATTTTGAGCCTTTACCAAGTCTTATTCCTTCCTCCAAGAGTCGTGTCACCCTCCCTCTTTAGCCCCAACAAATCCATCTGCTGCTGCTTTTACCCATTTTTATAACTTCCCATTTTGGGGTGTGTGTGTGTGTGTGTGTGTGTGTGTGTGTGTGTGTGTGTGTGTGTGTGTGTGTGTGTGTGTGTGTGCGTGTGCGTGTGCGTGCGTGCGTGCGCGCGCGCGTGCGTGCGCATGTGTGTGTGTGCAAGCAGATTTCATCTCCTGTGGTATTGCACACACACAAAGGGTTGGCTAACTGACACAGAAGCTGTGTGTTTGTAAGACAGTTGAGACTCACCAGTGACAGCGTCATTGACATGGAAATAATTGGACATGTGGAGGTTCATATTCCGCACCAAAACTCATGCAAAAGAGGCAAGTGGTCACTTTTTTGTTTTCTTTTTGCATGTTTGATAAAAAGAAACACAGTGTGTGTGTGTGTGTGTGTGTGTGTGTGTGTGTGTGTGTGTGTGTGTGTGTGTGTGTGTGTGTGTGTGTGTGTGTGTGTGTGTGTGTGTGTGTGTGTGTGTGTGTGTGTGTGATATAATGGTTAGGGGGGTCTGCGTGTGATGAAGGTTACTGACTTCTCAGCTGTGAAATTAAAGAGTCTTCCACGTCATTAATCATAAAAACTCAGATGGAATATCTTCTTTCTGTCTAAAAATTGATAATGAATTAAAAAGTATGAGTCACATTTTAAAATTCTCTATTTGTATTTTTTTCCTAAACAGTCCTTACGACATCAGTTTTAAACTTGGAGACTCCTTTCAGTACAACAGCATCTGCTCGTTAGAGCAGCGCTGGCCTTGGAAATTGGTTGCGGGAGGGGAAGTGTAATTGTCAATTGTTTTATACTTGGAGGGGGGCTGGATGGGAATATAGGATCTATGGGGCCATTTTAATCTGTGAAGCACTTTGAGTTGCATATTTTTATGTATGAAAAGTGCTATATAAATAAAGTTTGATTTGATTTGGGGTGAGATCAGAGTGCGTGTTATAACATCCCTGAGATCTCTAGCGTTTTACCGGGGGACTCGGCACGAGTTCGTAGGACTTATCGAACAGGAAGGAAGTGAGATCGGTTCAAATAAAGAGGAAGTGAAAACTGGGAGGGAAGCGAGGTTTCCTGTTACTTGGTGTGGCTACCATCACGCTACTTTTACCCCCCTTGTGTGTGTGTGTGTGTGTGTGTGTGTGTGTGTGTGTGTGTGTGGTGTGTGTGTGTGTGTGTGTGTGTGTGTGTGTGTGTGTGTGTGTGCAAAATGTAGTAATCCTAATAAAGTTAACTGCTCCATTAAATTGGTCCCTTTAGAACGAGTCACACATCAGCTGGGTCGAGAGGGAGTTTGCCAATATTAGAGAACAGGTAAGCCCTCACCCTGTTAAAGAT